CGGTCTGAGTGGAACGAATTGACACAGCGACGATCTTAAACGTTCTTCTTGTCAGAAAGAAGAAAAATGTACAGATTGGTTCCTGAATAGTGACAATGAGGCACAATGTCCAAACATGAACAATTGAAGGTCGCGATGTCAGTTTTGAAGAATGTCGCCGCTGTTTACTGGAACCATCATAAGATGGCGGTCGCGCGCACTGAGCTGTGCAGCCCAGGGTGGAGGCCACAGTCGACCTTCGGTTGACAAGTTTACCGTCAATTAGATAAGCATATTTTTTGTTTTCGCCGGGTCTCTTATTCACGACAAAAAGAACACATTCACAAACAAGAAAAGAGGCACATGGGATCATAACACCCGTCTGAGTATGTGTATTTCCTCGTGAACCTTTTTACCATTATGTTAATTTTCATGACATTTGGCACAAACATCTTACCATTAGATGCCACCTCATTTCCTTCTACATTTTAATATTCTGCCATCAATAATATTAGCATGGCCACCGTGAAAGCGACGCTACCACCACCTAGTGTGAGTCTTAGATTACAGTGTATTCGATTTTTAAAAGAAGTGTAATTTTCATAGAGACAGTTCTTTAGTGGAATATAAAGACTTGGCATGTAGTTTTCCGTCTGATAGTGTTGAGGTGGAGACGTTCAAAATTAATTAAAATTTTCAGTCTTGTTACACACATGGCGACGGGGAGTGTGGTCGTAACAGTGCTAGGTGGTCTGTTCAAATCATGAAGCTCGTTTCCATGTGGTATCTGTAGCCCGCTCACTTACTTCTTCCATGTGTTTTCCTGAGCACTGTGAGTTCATACGCCTGGAACAGACGTTCGTCCCTCGAAGTAATATCATGCTTTACAGTCGTTCAAAATAACTGGCAATTGTTTTTAAAATGTCCAGGGTTCCAGTCTTTTGGAACGTAGACAGTTGTAAATGAATAACAACTCCGTATCCGGAACGTGTTGTTCTCGTAATATTGTCACCGACTTCACTTATATATTGTTGCTCTTTTAAAAATACTGTACTTAGATTTTAAAATGGTGGACTCTCCGACTAAACAGCCGTTTATCGGGAATTCCAGGATTTCCAACATCATGAAATAATTCTTCATGAATATGACATATTTAGTAATTTCAGACACCCACGAGTACACGATGTGACTCGTTTTAATTTTTTCTTTGTGTGTTGTTCTCTAAATAGATAATGTCATACCAGAGTAACTAGATTTTCTGTTAATCACCCTAACTCAGTGCTATTTCTCACAGTTTAAGTGAGTGTCCGCATTAAAGTTTAGTGTACAGTTCACGATAATAATTGGTTCCACGAAAACCATAGTTAATTGAAATTATCGCCAATCGAATAAAGATAATACATTTTAAAAACTTAATTAGTTCCAAGAAAATAAACGCACAGGAAACACTGAAAGTCAAGCAAAATGAACTCCAATTTCTCATAAAAGGGGTCGCTGATTGGCTGAGGTCTGCTGAGTGTACCTAGGAGCGCTCCGATTGGCCGAAATTGTAGCTCGTATGATATCATAAACATAACCTCAATCTAAATTATTACCAGCAGACGTAATGGGACTCTCTGGAGTCAGATCGTTAATTGATGACGTCGTAAACCGAGGGACCACTGTATTGATCTGGTAATAACAACCTAGTGGACTTTAATTACCACATTTGGACAACCCTGTCAATTGTCTTCCAGACAGGACATGTACAGCTGTCAGACGTATTCTCACCGTCGAAAGGAAAACTTGAAGCCGTCATTTGCAGTGGTCTGGTTTTAATGAAAACAAGAACGTGGCTGACTGGATTCTTGATAGTTTATGATAATTAACTTTCTGTGTGTATGTTCCATTTTCTGCTCAACTGGACGGCCTTCGTTTTCTTAGTTAACGGTTGTCAAGTCGACTCCTTCGTCTGCCCCTTTAGCTGCCTCAAATGCCATCAGAAATACGCCGCTGTGTCAGAAGGTAGCCGTTTAACGGCCATGCTCCGGTCTGTTGGATAACGCGTGAAGATGATTTTGCGTCTTCAGTTCAAAACTTTTAAGACTGCTCGTGTAATTCTTCTCATTGCTTAAAAATAGGATTTTTAGGAAAATGTCAGAACTTAACAGATATGAAGTTGCGACCGTGATAGTTCAGACCTGTTATCTACGGCCTTCATAACTGGGGTTCGATTCCCGGCGGAGACAAAATTTATTCCGTTTGCAACCAATTGATGACTCCGGGCTCCACCTATTATCATATACGCGGGACATTTCCATGGGAATAAAGAAACTAGTCACTAACGTCAGCTACAGCCGAAATCTAGAATGATTGGTTCTTAATTTGTACACTCCCTGCGACTGAGTAAAATTCGAAAACCAGCGGAAAGAGCTGTTAGTTCTTCCGAGATTAGAGCCGTGTACTCCCGATCAAAAGTCGACGGCCTTAACACTACACCGATATTCCCAGTCGGGAACTTCATGAATCACATCGCAAGGCCGGGCATTGTGATGGGATGGACATGTAGCTCGCTCAGTTCTTTCGTGATTTTTCTGTCTCTTCAAGCGACTGCCGGTGTTATAACTTTCGCTACGCCACAGACGTCTGCTTTCAGATCCTTACCACATTTTATCGTTCGACGTTATATAATACTCGCATTTGAAAAGTGCAATTAAAAAACAAAAATGAAGCTAATGATTTTATGCATTTGGAATTAGGCTGTAGTTTTTATCTGAATTAATTTTCACATAGTAAACAAGTAGTCTACTTTTACTAGAACCGTTTCTCGTATGACTGGTCATTGACATTACCAAGTGTTATGTGATTTTATAGAAAGTGTGACTATTATTCTTTTCCAGTATCCCTCTGAGGTTTTAACGTTTTCTCCTTCACCAATTCTTAAACACCTGCTCTCAAACCTTCTTCTGTTTCCATACAGAACTCCCTGCAATCTTACTCACGATCAATAAGTATAATTAAACTGTCGAGGCCCCGAGAAAATGTTACACTCTGAGGTGTAACATTATCTTTCACCGAAAGTTTATACAGGAAATCTGGAAGGGACATGTCTGAAGCGGATAACATAGAACATCGATACCTTATACTATAAGTTGTCAAAATTTTGCCGTACTCCTGATCGGTATCTCTGATCTAGCAGCACCTGCAAGGAAGTAATCAGATGCTTGAGAAAATTACATAATGAGGAACTTCATAGTTTGTAAACTTTACGCCGAACTCCTGCTTCGCATTCGGGGAGTCACGGATTCAAGTCTCAGCCCGGAGATCGAATATCCTGAGGTCCTTCGTCGTTTTCCTCTAATCTTCAAGGCACATACAACGGATCGTAATCTGACCACGAACGCTTCCTTCCACATCCTTTCCAGTTCATCATTCAATGTTTATTTTATGAGTCGTCGCTACTGGCCTATATGAACTCTGCTACAGAAAATATCGTTTAATAAACTTAAGAACTACTTATATAGAAATTGTATTTAAGTTATTATTGATTTGAATAATTATATACACTTGAAGATAGTTCTTTTAGGAACTGAAACATGTCGTGAAAAATGATGGTCTAATGTAAATCGAATATTTCGATAAAGAACATTATTTGATATTTTAAATATTTTAAATGTTAATTATTGTAATATTTTAATATTTAATAAGAATTTATTGTGATTAGACGGACAAGATTTAATATATAATATATAATGTATACTTAACTTTTACATTTTATACTGTTCTTGGAAGCTGCATGTAAAATCGATTGTCTAAACTGTATAGTAAATACATAGAAAAATAGAATGTGCATTCTTCACTCTTGGAAAAATAAATGTATACAACATTTCAATCAGAAAATTTAAATGAGACCGCCTAGAAAACATTAGGCGTGATTGGGAAAATGTATATTACAGAAACAGGGCTTCAAGTCGACTGGATTCATCTGGCTGAAACTGCGATCTTGTGAATAAGGTAGCGAAACTAGACTAGGCTAGCCTAGGATAGGTTAGGTTACGTCAGGCATCGACAGCTTTCGACTGTCATCGACACGCAGTGACACAAACCGATACGCACCGAAAGGCACACATCGGCACGCTTCGATTGATTTCGCCAGGTTTCGACAGTGGCGAGATCAGTACTTATAGGTAGCATTGTGTTCGAAAGAATCAGCTCGTTCTCTTTCGTTGTTGAACTGAATGTACAGAAACGAGGTTCAGTTTTTTTATTCATCTGTCTACTCAAACCAAGGCAAACGCCGAAGCGATTGGCCCATAACACATGCCTCGCCTTACCCTTGAGCTAACAGATTGCCAATTTCTAATACCTTTTCGCTGCCAACATGCAAAACCTAATAATTATAGTAACTGGAGTTATTGCTGTCGATAAATTTATAGCAGCAAAATAAGTTTGATTTGATTTGAATATATTTGTGGGGTTTTTTCTCACCTACAAATGGACGGTAGGCCACTTACAGACAATGGACCACGCGTGGTCCGTCGGATTTAAGAACTGTATTCAGCAGGGCTTTGGATCAGTTTGTATACATTGTTCTGTGCATGATGTCCATAAAGGGAATGAATAATTTTAATGTTTCTGTGTCTTTTCTCCATTCTCACGTCTCATCTTCAAAATTTATGAACGGATTTCGATTAAATTTGTTATTTGGAGGTCTATACTACACTATAAGGATCTAAAATCGAACTTTGTTATATCTATTAAAATCGAGGCCAAGCTTCGACCTTCATAGGCGGACAAGAACATCGCATGCCAGTCGATTCCTCGGCTGGACCTTGGATTAATTGGGTTAAATACAACGGTGAAAGTAATATTTGATTAGCACGATCAATTTTTAGGGTGCTTTCTTCTGCCCAAATTACAGGGAACTGGTTGGTGGATATACCAGTCAGTAAAGTGACTGGCTGTGGGCTGGGCGACCGGGTTTTGATCCCAAACAGGTGCGAGAAAATTGTTTCCATAATAACTTGATGCTCCTGTGGGATATAAAACAGAAACTCGGGATTCTGCTTATGACATCAAATACGGCCGGATACGGAACCCGATCACCAACATCCATTAGTATTTCTTTTCGCTCTCAGATTCGATTTGTTAAGATTACGTTACAATAATTTATATTGCAGTTCAACACGAGAAAGCTTCATTCCCGTCAACTATGACGGGTGATACTGCGCTATATTCTTAATACAAAAAGCAAGATTCGATTAGATAAGGCAAACAGAATGGCAGTACAGCTAATATTTAACATAGTTACTTGGTGCCTACAATATGAAAACGTCCAATTATAGGTGACTGATATATATGCTACCTTGAAGGTATAAGTTGACGGAAGTCGGTTGTAACGATTCTGACAACACCCCCTTCGGCGTGTATGAAAGGCTGGGTCAACAAATTTCCATGCATTTGCGTGTGTTACTCTGTGTCAGCGCACTATAATCAAATTTAATTCAATGCAAACAAATAGCTACTGCCTTAGGGGCAGAATGTCTCAGTCGGTAATGCGACTGGCTACTAGAAGGAGTTCGATTCATGTCAGAGGCACCAGTTCCAGACCGGCTCTGCATTCCGCCCAACACACACATTCTGTATTTCGGCAAGAGATAAAGGTAGATAGTCAGCCCCTGACTTCTTGGACGGATCCCGTAGGTGTTCTGAGTGTGTTGAAAAAGAGAAGAATCTCGTCTCTGCCGAGACTCAAGTCTTGGCCATCATTTCAGTAGCTTCTTCTTCCCAGAGTCGGGGCTAGTTTCATCTTCCTCCATCATCACATCAAACCTCAATGAAATCTATGGTCATCTGAATAACTCTTCCATTTCCTCGATCGTCCAAGTGGTCTCTATCAAATTATGTTATTATCGTTATATGGTGAGCGCCTTGAAGAACGCCTATGCCTGCTTATATTCAGGAGTTGCAAACGGCTTCCTCATTATGCGAACAGTTCCTGCACATTGTACAAAGGATGCACAGTGACACATGATCCACAGTAGACCGATTACATAGCCTACAAATCCTATCTTCCAAATATGAGACAGACCGGCCGAGAACGCTGTGGTACCGTTAGACAAGGCAATCTAAAAGTAGAGCTATTTTTCTTAATTTCCATGGTGTTTGGAGAAAGGTACAGACATGACAGGTGGGAAACTTGCGGTGGCTTGTTTGGCTGCAACGTAATCTAGTGGGAACTGGGTGACTGATATTGTGCGCAAGGAAACACTGGCTTTGGTGCAAAAACGATGTAGCTCCAGTAGTGATTCTGTAAAACAAAGGTTCCGGGTCAGATAATACAGGACTGCCCATCAGATCCAAAGGGTCACGACGTTACCTTCAAACTGGCATTGCACTTTCCTTACTAATTAGTCCATTTGGACGGGCTTCGGAAGTCATGAACCTATTTGGACATTTGATTGGGCTCTTTGGTATGGTGATAAGTCATTAACACTTCGAGAGCAGCAGCTTTAGACTATCGTGTCTGAAGTAATCGTTAAAATGAATGTTACTTTTATGCATTTTGTGTACAACTGTAAAGGCTTCGAATGATTTGTCACAGTGTTGAACTAGAGGTGGCTGTTTCTCTCGAGGCCATGAGAAAATTCGCTGTCACTAGAAGTAGCCACATCCGGCTTAAGAGCAAACCAGTTCGCCACCCTGGTATTGATTGTTACTGAAACTGAAAGTGATCGGCGAGACTTGACTCACCGGAAACCATCGAAACCATCGTCCGAGCCGTTGACTGTGAGGACGGGGGCCCTCGCGTACGCCTTCGCCACCCGCCTGTTCCTTTCCAGGACGATCACTTTGGCCCAAATCTCGTCGTCGATCTGTGTCCATTTGTCCAATACTTCTTGTATGTGATCCTGTAATCAAGGACAGATGACGTTGGTTCTGGAAGGACCGATTGGCGATAATTACAAGAGACATGTCAGACCGAAAGAAAGAAATGAAATGAAACGGAGCTGAAAGGCTAGATGGACAAAGCTAGGTAGAAAGAAAGGTTTCAAAAAGGAAGTAAAGAATAAATCGCATACGCACACATTCCGTTATGATAGCGGTTATAGTTCTTAATAGTTGTCACTCGGTGGTGTAGGGGTGGGGTAAGGAGATCGTACTAAGAAGAGAGAGATACTATGGAGCAAATCATTAATATTATTACACCAATGTACGAATAAACTAAAAATGAAAGCAAGCCAAGTGTCACAGGTTTGACGCCGTTACGTGACAGCATGAATTTTAAATTGGTTTCGAAAGTTCCAGTGATTGTTCTTATGATCGTCTAGCAATACGACGGGGAAAAAAACGTTTTTAAGCTTAATGCACCGTATAAAATTCTGTTTATACCGCAACATTCAGACTGCTAAAACTCCTGACGGATTAGACTATTGTGTACTTTCAAATACAAGTTCTCACAATTGGACTCAAAATCAATTGTCGAACATGAAGTTCATGCAGCAAGAATATAAGTTTCTTCTTTGCCTGACGGAATGGAAACTAGATTACTTTCATATAATGTAGCACCGATAATATAATGTTTCTCTCAGTTTTAGAAAAATCTGAAAGCGTGGCGTAGTGATTTAATATTACCTTGAAAATACAAAGAGACAAGTAACAAGTATTTACGACATAAATGCTGATATAAAAAAAGTCATTACTCTAGCTGATATGATTGTGCAGAGAAAGAATGTTCGAAAATTGAAGCGGTTTAATGTTGATTTGATTGGGTTTAAGCAGTAATATTTGATTGTATTCCTATCTGTTGATTTGCTCTGTCGACAGATTTGTATCTGCAGCAAAAGAATTTCAACACCACTGAGGAATGCAGAATTGTAAATAACCCATTTTGAAACAGTGTACACATTTTCACTTTCGTTCGTAGGTTCGTTTCAGAGCAAAACAGGCATAATTATTGTCTGAGTGAAGGTAGCGTTGATTACACAAAATAAGTAGCTGAAATGTTAAAAGTCTCGGCAGGTGTCACCAATGTAGCAGCACGCTGAATCATACCGTGACCGTTAGATGCCACTGAACATCAAGGCTGTTGGTTTTTATTTAATCTCTATGGTAAAAAGATAACGAAAATTGTAATGTTCTTATTTTGTTTCTTTCCACGGGCAACACGATTTCATTACAGTACGTTTTGTTACATTAAATGAGCAAATGATCTTCATTGCTTGCGATCCTGGGATTTATAATCGATTCGTTCTTATTTTGTGTTTCCATCGTCGGTGGCATTGTGTGACATTTCATAGCATGCTGTTTTTTACAGTACGGATCTGTTACCCCTCCGCCCAACCCTCAAGCTGGAGGATCTCCTCTTGTCGACTATCCTCAACAGCTTATTCAGTATATTCGCATCTTCCGTCCATACCCGGAAGCCTTTTTCTCAATCCGCAACCTGCGAACGCGCCGCGCCGTACTGACGAGAGACCCACGAAACATTGTTCGTTTAATAATTAATTCATAATATTCTGGCATTCTCACGCCTTCCGTACTAAAATAAGATACATTTCCACACAGGCAATGATATGTCGTTTTAACTTACTTAACAGGAAGGAATGTAAATTTTATTTGTGGAATGTAATCGTAATTACTAGTGACACACCATTACAATTAGCCTCAGTAATACATTAGATAAAACAGACTGACTTCTTGGCAACGAGTATGCACAGAATTTGGCTAATTATTCACGTGTGAATAATCGCAATAATTGAATTTAAAATTAATAGAATTTAACGAAGACTTTGTTTTCAACAAGGCATGGCCTTTGTTTTTCATAAAAGACGGTGAATTTCTGTGACAGCTGAGAGACTGTTAGCTTCTCGAGGACGACTCTGCTCCATGTAGCTAGTTTGTTTAGACTCCTGTAGATGCCTGCATTCTCTGAACACGGATAAGATAGTTAGCCTGTACATGGTATCAATGACAAAGTTATGTGGTCTGCTTTTGCAAATATTTATCCAAGTACTTAAGATTCCCTTGCCACTTACGTTCTGCCAACGCCTCACATGTTTTTTTTTAATCCCTGAGATGAAGACAGCTTAATTCTGAACGGCGTACTAACGCACGTGTGGTATTTACGTAAACTTAAAGTGTTACACGGAACTGGTAACACGAAGCACGTATATACTGTTACTGAACAGTTGAAACTTTCACTAAGAAAAGGCCATGAACTTTGATCTCTTGTTAGATAAAAGTCTTCGCCTTTTCTGAAACATAAGAATTTGTCCCCGCACGTAGATTTTAAAATACGTACACAGTAGAACGGGACAGAACCTCAGGTCACCCACGCTTACGCGTTCATTTTATAAAATGCATAAAGTGAATGTCTAGTGGGAACGCGTAGGCCCTGTGTCAGTCTACGTGTTTCATATTTGGAACTATCGAATTCTGATGCACTCAGATTGTTTAGAGAATTTAATTTCGCTGAATTAATTTTGATGCAATAGTTTAATTTGTGTTATCTATATTTTATGTGGACAAAAGTAGTTAATATGACAATAAGCTAAGGAACTGTTGAGTAGATTTTTGAATACCTTTGTATACAGTTACACTTTTTCAAGTGAGTAAGGGATATAGGTATATCGAATGGAAAGATAATTGTGATCGGGCTGGAAATAATGTGGAAGGAAACTATCGTATCTTATTGATGGCAGACCGCGACGTCAGGTCTATTTGCAAGCAATTTCGGGAAGTTGGACGTGATAATTAACAATTAGTAATTCCACAGAAACTAGCAGAGCAACTTATTAGTTCTAGAATGAGAGTTGCATGAAAATATTTGTTAAGGAGATGAGTGTCCTCTGGGTTGTTTTGCGATCTTTCTGATGATGGAGATAGCAACTGTCTCTGAAACGTCGGTAAACTTCTGTCAGACTACACGATACTACAACCCACAAGACAAACATCGTCGTACTCGCCTTACAGGACCCGAAATCCGGCTTCTTTTGATAAGGAATCTAGCCATTTCTCAAGTTCTAAATTTTGTGAAGTATTAGTAAAGTGATTTAATTGAGAGGTATGAGATAAACGATCAGAAAGAACGCGAAAACTAGAAATGAATAATGAATTTTTGTTTGGAAAATATCATGGGAAATTACAGCTTGGTATGTGTACGTGTCGACATTTTAGATAGCGGGCCAGTCCAGCTTTACGCCGGGCAGCACATAAAAACAGCTCGTCCATGTTTCTTGCTGGATTCCAGCCCGTGATCCTAGTTCCTTAATTCGTTCATTCGTTCTGTGTAACTGAATGCATTGCGCCTCGTTGCCACTGTGTTAAGACCTCCTCCTTTACAAACCGTGTAACAAATCACATATAATACGTACTAGAATCCATATGCTTACTTCACTTTCATGAAGCGCTGAATAGGGCCAGTGACTCAGTTTCACTGCAAATTCAGCACAGAATCCGGCTACTATGACGTTCTCATACCGTATCAAATCGAAATTCCCAAGCGTTACAAATTTCAAGTAAAATAAAAGACAGAAGCTTAGCGTGAATAAAAAAGTATCGAATGCTTTTTCCACATCACTGAATCGTGCTATCCGATTGGCCACATCACTGTTAAAATCACAGACAACGAGAGAAAGACGATAAATCTGTCAGGCACGGAGAGAAAAAGACATTTTCTTTGGTATTAATTCCATGTTCGTCTCGAGTAAGTTCTCAACGTGGTAGAATTAACGAGTCCTAATTCTTTTATTTCTGTTAGACAGTAGTGGGAGGCAGGTTGCATAACCTGCACAAAAGCTGCGATTTCGTCTGTTAACGTTATGTAAATGCTTCAGCGAAAAGATTACCGGAAGAGAAAAACAGAACAGAAGTAAACCGAATTCAATTACGCGATAATATAAATCTGGCGCACTGGGTCACGTTAATTAATAAGCTACTTAATATTATTTAACAAGTAAGCGCGAAGGAAATAATAAGGAAACGTTTGTGACTACATTTGTAGGATTTGAGGTTTTCACTGCGGTGAGTCTGAAGATGGCTGTCTTCAGGGTTGTTGTGCTGTGCAGTATGGTAGAAGTTTACCGACATTTCAGAGGTCCTTGGTGCCTCCATCATCAGGGCGGTAAACTCCTACCAGCCTACACGGCTCAACAACCCAGAAGACAGCCATCTTATTTGTTACTACAATTTTATGGCTGGATGACAAAATAGGGAGGGGGATATATACGTGGATAATAATTTCTTTATTATAAGTGTGCCTGAAAGACGGATAAAAATAATAAATAAAATAAAATTGGAACAATTAAATTACAGACATATTGCATAATTATAAGAAAATTAATAAATACATCGTGAAGACAAGTAGGGATTACCCACTTGGACGTGTCTTAAATCTCACAAGTTAAAAGTCGTAAATTTAGTTTGGCGTCAACATGTCGTCTGTGTTATTTGTGTAATGTCAAGGAAATTAGAGAAGCCCAACAGAACCCTTGTACTCTTTTTTAAGGGGTTTGCTGCGAAGGAGAAAGTGTTGCTCTTGTTCGCCCGCCACGCACGTCACAAGTGAAACTTGGGAATTTGATTCGACACTAAACATTTTGAACTACTCTGCCGTAAAACAAAGCATCAATTTCTCTGTAAATTAAAGTGTGGTAATTTATTAATGTTATTAGCAACACTTTGTGCTTTTTGTATAGGAAACGTATAAAGTGGTTAATGTGGAAACTTACTTCATTCCCGAAACAAGTTTCCACTACATTTTTACGCGTCTCTTTTGTTGTTCAGATTACACGTTTCGGCTACAGTGTAGCCATCATCAGGTCTGCCAACTTCTGAAATGGGATTGAACATATTGTCCCTTAGTGTAGGTGTAACATCCTAAAATGATATATTGTAACAGATCTTCGAAAATGATATGTCTTTGGTTAATGTTTTTGTTTCAAACACACAAATCTACTCCTGCCTGACGTCTGCGCAAAAAGTAGTAGGTCTACACACTTGAAAATAGTGTGTCTCAAAAATATGTACACACATTCAATGAATGAAACGAAGACGTTTAATAAAATAAATCATTACATGCGTCAGTATTGACACTTAGTGAATTAGCATATCTCGTATAGGTGTTAAAAGTGACCACAGTTAGCTTCGTGGCACAGTTGGAGGCGTTGAGAAAATAACAGAAAAGTGACCACCAAAGTTACAGCTATATATGTGTGTGTGTGTGTGTGTATGCTTTATTTTGATAAAGATGCCAAATTAAGTGCTTCATACGGATATGTAGGCCTACACGTTTGTCCATATCAAAATTTGTTATGAAATATATTTTATATAGTGTCGATGTGAACTATCGAGGTAATGCGTGACAGAATTTATCGTAGTAGGAGTGTATGTAGTGGATATAATTCAAAGGAATTCATCTCTACATAATATATTTATTTATTCATTTATTAATTTAGGCCTCTATGTTGCTAGCTTCACCACATGGATTGAAGAATGTGACTTGTCTTGTGTTCTCCAAGAACTTCATGTTATGTACACATAAGTATATAATGCGTCATTAAATTGTTGCTCTGACAGTCGTCCGTTTACTGTCCGGTTAATGTAATAAACTATGTACAGAATCTTGCGAAAAATAAATTGAGAAACTGCGACTATTAACAGATATGACTAATCCGTGTTTTACCGCACCTCGACTTTCTCTAGTCGCTGAAAACATTGAATGTTTTCGACGTTTTGAAATCCGGCTTCTTAGTCAATGAGAACAGTATTGTGGCCAGTACCGCCACGATATCCTGTCTGTGTTTTGCATATTTGAAGTGCGTTAGGTTGTAAGTTGTTCAACCCAACAACCAAATTTACATTTCATAGATTCTGCGTCTTGAGTTTGGGAGTTCTGAAAAGCAGATCTGACACAAAATATGCTTAGTCAGGCTTATCGCATGTATGCAATCATGAGTATATTTATAGGCCCCGTATGCTTAATTTTCTTAGACAGCAGCAACGAATTAATCTTCGTAATATAAACGCTTTGTGTTCTATTTAAAGCACTATGTAAAATATAAATATTGTTTAGGCTATAGCTGAGTTTCGTGCTTCGAACTGTTAAATAACTGTGCAGCTAGTTGTTCATACCAGAAGCAATGACAGTAAAATAATTTTGTTTAAAATAAAATATTTTTCTTCCTAGGTCAGCTTTCATGCCAACTAACCAGCATTCGGTAACTGGAGAGCCAAATGATGAGTGCAGGATAGAAGCATATCGGTAAGTTATTCAGTTGCACTGAAACTATTTGTTCATGTCTGATGTTCTAATGTTAACAAATGAAATAATAGATTATAAAACGTTCAGAACACACGCGATTCCCGCCCAGTGTCGAACATGCCTGTTAAGATTCGACGCTGCGAATACGTAGCGCCGATAACTAGGCGGTGCCCCGGTAAGCCGGTGTCAGACCCCCACTAAGTGGGCATTGTTAGGCCCACGCGCCCGCCTCTAAAAAATGGCCTTTGTTCCCAGCTCTCATCACTGCAGTGACCAGGGTTAGCCAAAGTGCACTCACTCCTGGCTCTTGAACTACGTCAAATCAATACCCAAATGCCTAAATTGTCACAGCCACGCCAAATTGCGCAGGATTTTATTTTATGAAAATCATCATGCGGTTGATGATTTGAGATAATGTCAATGAATGTGCCCGCGATAGGCCAGTAAGTACAGTGGTTGGGGTTCTATTCCAGGCTGTTGTAGGTTCAGGAACTCTTTCTCGGGGATAAAATAAAATTACGCTAACCAGTCACCATCTCCTGCCGAGGTGAGTGGAGCTGTAACTCCACTCCGCCATGTTGATAATGGTGTGGTTCGTACTTAAGCAACAAATGATATAACAGATGATTGTTTGAACCACCTACAATACTACACGGCGTCATAACGTAGACCATCACAATTGCAACCTTCAACAACTCAAAAGAAGCCTGAAATGTGACGAAATTCAACGAGCTCCTTGCAATGTAGATGGCCTGTACTGCAGGCCTATAATGTTCAAAACTTCCCATTAAACGGGTTCATTGAGCACAAGTCCAATATTGTTCTGTGACTTGAGGAAGTGTGATATACAGCCGGATGTCTGTCCTTGTTGATACGTCCTTGCGACACATTGTACTCTTGGGCGTGGCGGATATGCCCGCAGGGGTCCACGCTTCACCCCCACCCACCCACACCAAGGTCGGCCATGTAGAGCATGAAATATGTACCACGTGTCTTGGCAGAAATACCGACAATCTTGCTCTTATAATTAAGATTCTTCTACATGATCTATGTACGCGTTGCATATCCACGTATTAATCATTGTTATATTTAAAAATATAATTATGAGGCGAGCCTTTACATTTCAGTGTTGAGTTGTTTCATAATATCCTCAAATTTCGTTTTGTCCTTTTTTAGATGCAGCTGTGTTTCAATTTATTTGATTTTAAAACGTTGTATTTTAACTTAATCTCCTCTCATAGTGAATAATTATGCTATAAAGCCACACAGAATAAATGGCAAAACCACTGCGTCACATGTCGATAGCTTCGATAAATATTACTGCCGTGTATGATTATGTTACCTGAGAGAACTTTGGACTCCACTGGACTGGCGTCTGGTCACTTCATATGAATCGATGAACAGAGATAGTGAAATAATATGGAGGATATGCTGAAGGAACGCAGATAAAACCCCGATGATTCTGACAATAATTACGAAAGTGCAATGAGACTTTCGTCCTTTCTTTTTCACGTAATTTATTCGGTAACAGTACTTAATTTCCTGTTATCTACTTCATTTCTTCGTTCCCTCTAACGCGATGGCGTGTGGTGTGGAAAAATCGGCACTTCATTGTTTGTGTGGCTTCTTAACAAGATCTGATTGAAAGAAAAGATTCTGTCATTGGCCAGCAGAAAGCTTCAGGCAACACGTAACAAAACAAAAGAAAACCAACACTCATTTGTCTCAAAAGAGATTGCATGTAGTTTTGAGGCTTGTTTTGCTGTCAACTCTTAATTACCATTTAGGTGGAGCTGTGAAATATGTGGCTGTTGCTAAGGAACCAGTTTCCAAATTTGGTGCACACCCACTCACATGAATCTGTTTATATTCTTCTTTGGCTTGGAGAAGCGCATATTCAAGCATTGTGATCGAAACAAAGAAAGAGTGACACAAAGATTTGCAGTTTAAAGATAGGTCTGTATGTGGTATTTGTGACATTTTTTATTTGTTCGTTATTAAGCTAAAGACACCAGTCTCTTACATAGCTCCATATCCTCACTGAGTGCTGTACCTAAATAATACTTCGTATTCCAGCAGTTTCGCCTTCGAATCTTGATTCCAAGGCCGCGTATTTTGAACCTTTCGTAATTTGACGTAATAGTTGGGATATGGTATTAAAATAGGCTACTACCACTTCCTTCATTTTTATATCTGACAACGTATATGAAATGGAAATGCTAACGAAAATAACGCACATACATTATTTCTAACTTGTATATTTATTAATTCATAATTGTCGCCAATTTGTTTGTAGTCTGAAAATGTATTTAAAGGAAATTATATTTCATATGAGCTTTGTACTCACTAAACTTGTAATTACATTAAAAGCAAGATAAATTTATTTTGCTTTATGAACCAGATCAGTACCTTAACGTGTGGCCAAGAAGTCATTTCTAGAGTATCAATATACTGTTTATAAACGTACCGACCTAATGTTAGTTAATTGGACTTTAATATGACACGGATAAGTGACCGGTTAGTTAGTGATTCCACGCTCTATAAGAAAAAAGAGAAGAAGATATGTAGCAGGAAGTCGGTTAATACGTGTAATGAGGCAGAGGACATGTACGGAGATCCTGGGAGGTATGCAAACCGGATAGTCTTGCCTGAGGTGAGAGTGACAGAAAGTTTGCCAAACGTTTGGTTACGGGCGTGCAGACAAACGCCTGCGTGAATCATTCGTAATGAGAGCGCCCGTGATGATGATGATGATTAGAATAAACGGCGATTATTTCCCAAACAGCGTTATTACATTCATTTATTAGTTCATTTATTTTATTCCGTTCAGTTCTTTATACAGAAGACACCGGGTGAAACAGAAGTAACCAGTTGATCCTTGTAGTGGAGATGCTTTTTTTTAGAAAGGGTCTGAATTTTTATTGTTAATTATATGAACTTTGCGTTTTTAAAAGGGTAGATGCGACCACTTGAGTAAAACACTCAGTTTAAATTGCACTCTCTGGTGTAGAGACGTCCAGACAATAAGTAAACATATTTCAGAATCTAACGGAGGGATCAGATATGTAGTGATAGCGTGTCCAAGCAACTTAATTTAGAAATACCATTGAAGGTCCTTTGTCAAGGATTCTGGGCAGACATTCCAGTTGCGAATAATAATATGCTCCACATTCTGTAGCTCCTGAGCTATGGGCGTGACTCTTGTACGAAGGTCGACAACAATACTTCATTTTTTTATTTAATTCTCTAGTTACAAAAGTCTCAGCCTCGAAGTGGTAAAAGAGATCACGTGTTTTGAAGTCCGCGCACAAAGACAGTGATTGAAGAAACTTTCGAAAAATCACGTTCAGAAGTAAGAAGACGTATTTAATTTTCTGTTCTTTCCTTATTCAGACATTTTCCAGGCCTGCTGGTTTAAATTAACGGCACGAGACGCTGTTTTTTAAATTGCGTACGAGGACTGCGGGAGGACACACAATTAGTTTTTGAACGTGATTGTCTTGTGGGTCGTTCCGCTGTGTCATCTGGTAGAATGTTACCGACGTTTCAGAGATACGTCGCCGTGAGAATCTGAAGTGTAACCAAGATTAATTTTATCGAATAGAACTACACGGATTTGTGTCACGCACAAAATCACAAACGATTGTTAGATAACTTTACGTTTTCAGTTCCTTGGCACAACATCCCAGAAGACAGCCATTTTGATGAACATGAACGCACAGTGCAGACGCGTTCGTCTGTCATGTTAAGAGCTCTACTAAACAGGAAAGTACACAGACGCCCGTACTTAGAAAATAATTCCAACCCTCGAGTCTTGTGTTTAAGCACATCGAGACTAGTACAGTTGTGTAAAAGTTGGGTCCATTAGATTGAGCACTGAGCTTCCTAGTTGCTGGACGGACGGACTCACTTTCCGTCATGATCCAAAGTGAAAGTGAGTGGAAAGTATTGCGTTTACTAACCAATAACCTATACTGTTCTATAAATAATCGTGTTTAATGATAATTATAACGCAATTGGAAATGCTTCTGTTTTTTTCACAATAAAACTGGAATGTGTCATCCGACAAATACATCGGAGAACTTCGTAATTTCTGATTACATCTGATTTTGAAAATGTGAAAAGACTGTAAGCACTTTTATTTTCAAGGTTAAATTTAATATAAAAAGGATTTATATAGTTTTAACGTTTTGTCTATTTTCCATACTCGTTGTACATATTCTGGAAATTTAATTTTTGTTTGCGATGTAGGCGTTGGTATTTCGCAATGAGGTGAAGCGTAGCTCATGTCAAAGTCTTTGTTTATTTTACATTCGGTTATTTTATGAAACAGTATTAATTCCTGAGATTATGATATCTAATGTGAAATGGTAGGAACATTTTTAACAATAAACTAGGAAAAATAACGATTTTGATTCTAGTATTTGCTTTAAAGACTGAGGAAAATGAAGAATCTTAAGTTACGATAGGCTGTCTGCAACCGACGTCTAACAGCAGTCGTTTAAAGCGGAATCAGAGGCGGTACCCCTGTGCCAACCTGCTCAGGCACAATAAACATGAACTTGGGGCCGAATTAGCAGAAACAAATAAAATATAGAACTGTCCCGTATTTAAATAGAGGGGCAGAGCGATACGACGACAGATATTTAAGATAGCCGATGTTGATAAACGTCTCACCATCGTGAGAACGTAACATGGCATTTAGGATAACCGATCAGTGGGTCAGTGGCTGGGATACGAACTAGATTTCGAACCAAATTGCGAATCTTCCGTTAAGGCTGTCGTAACCGGCTCGGCATTTTTTGAGACCAGAGTGTTTCCAGTTCTTCATCTCGATGAAGGAGAGAGTGCTCGGTGGATAACGAAAAAAGGTGTTGGAGTACGAACTCCAGAGTGTTCAACTTTCACACCCCGGACATCGTGCTAGGTGCCATTAGTTATATTTTATAAAGATTTGGATGAAAGTTAGCAATAGTGATATCGTTGAAGTCACTTCTAGT